GGATTAAGCCCCAAAAAACCATCTGTAATCCTAATAATACATTACCCCCAAGTGGACCCTAAAAGAAAACAAAGGAACTCCATCATAAGATTGTCATTTGCCATGTCTGCCTAGACTTCCAAGACGAAAAACATTGTTGAAGATTAGCCTCTGTTCAGAAATGACTACGCACCCTAGTGGCTATTTTTTCTCGGGAGAGATGAGGTCCTCAATTCAAGTCATTTATGATTTAGAAAATTAGAGGATTGTTTGATTGTGTAGGTGTAACAAACCAATTAAAAATATAACCTGTAGAAAATTTTCATAAAAATTATTATCAACTTTCAGAGACTCTAGAATCAGTAACTGCTCTAAACCCAGAAGCTTGGTGTAAGCAAATTAAGAAGCTTCAGAACCAGTGACACAGATGTTCTCCTTAGCTGGTGAGATGGTTTTAACTTTTAAGGATGCAAAACATTCATTAAAGATTTAAAACTAGAATAAGAAATTAATTCCAACGTTGTCAAACAAATGTCTCATCCAACAACTATCAAAAACCAAAAAGCTAGATAGCAATTAGAATCTATTGATGGCAACATTTCAGAATCTAAGTAAAGGCTTGAGTTGAGAAAAGAATATTTCCAAGCAAGCAACATCTCCTTCAGTCAAAAAGACTGAACATCAAGTCCTGCAATAAGATGTAACAAGTTGATTAGAATATCAGGTAAGTCTATGATCAAAGCAAAAAAAAAAAAATGCAATGCCAAGACAGGTTCCAGCCATGCTCCACTAAACAATTGTTAGCATACTGCATGCAAATATTAAATGTGAAAATGTCTACAAGGAATCTATAGGTTATAAGCAAGTAAAGAGAAGATAAGATTTAGTAAAATAAGAAAAATGTTGGGGGTCAAGGTGCAGTGTAACAAAATTAGGGTTTGAAGAAAAGCTTACATCTTCAGACTCCTCTTGCTCTTCCACTTTCTCTTCTTTTTTTGTCTCGGCTGCGGCTGGAGCAGCAGCACCTCCAGCACCAGCAGGTGCAGCAGCAGCAACTGCAACACCAGCACCACCAGAAGGCACCGAGGCCAACTTCTCCCTCCCAGCAGCAATAAGTTCTGTTATATCTTTGCCCTCGACTTGCGATAGGAAGAGCTCTATCCTATCTTCATCAGCATCAGCTCCAACTGTAAAGCCGATCAAATTTTAATCCCTTAAGTAATAAATTAACCAGATACTCTTCTTTACCAGTCACTAGTTGCTGTTCTTGGAGAAGCATTGTAGAATACAGGAACTATAATCTATTTTTTATGTAATTAGATCACTAAAAAAATTCAAGAGCTGTTTCCTGAACATGATAACTCAGTTGAAAGCATTCCACGATGTCACAAAATTACAGGTCACAAAGGAAAACAAACAGAAAACTTTGACATCCCCGAACATGGAAGGGAGGCAGAGTGCATCACCTAGATGCTGGAGTATTCAATATTATCAATGCAACATCTCCTACATCACATACATTACCTAAGGCCCCTTTGACATCATGATAGAAATAGCCAAAAAAAGGAAAAAAAAAAAAAGAAAGGAAAAAAGGAAAAAAGAAGAAGATGCGTTCACTCATTTGAAAGCATTCCACAATGTCACAAAAATACTAGTCGCTAAGGAAAACAAACAGAAAACTTCGACATTCCTTATACATGGACAAGAGAGAGTACATCATCTAGATGTTAGAGTATTCCATATTATTAGTGCAACATCACATACATTACGTAAGACCCCTTTGACATCGTGATAGCAATAGCGAAAAGAAAGACCCATTGGCATTGTCCCATCCCCTTAGAAAACTTTCCATGCAAAGGTTACCGAACAAAGCAACATAGAAAATTGTTGCTAAAAGACCCATGCATCTCAATCAAACAAATAACATGAATTCTAAGGATTAAAAAAGGTAGAAGAGAATGCAAACTACCTAAATTTCAACATTGGAAAAAAAAAAAGGGATTTTGGGAAACATACCGGAACCAAGGATGTGCTTAATATCATCAGCTGAGGGGGTGGCGTTGCCTCCCAAGACGGCCAACAAATATGCAGCCACCACCTTCATCTTTCACAAAGATCAACGCTTTCTGCTACCTTAACTGAAACCCAAAAACAAAAACGTCAATAATGCCCATTCCAGAAATCTTTAGAGAATGAACGTAAACGTAAAATAGAGGAGCAGGTGAATACGGCTTGGGATCTGGTGGGGTAGTGGGAACAGTATGGTGAATAAGGGAGAGAGAGGCTGTATATATATATATATATATATAGGGTTTAGTTAGAGTTAGAGTGGAGGTAGAAGTTCTACTACCATACGGATATGGATTAATCACCTCGCGACTTCGCCCAAATTTCTGTTGTGATGGGCTTTTTTTATAAGGTGGGCTTATGATTCTTTTTAATAAGGTGAGCTTGTGGCTCGTATTCAAAAAGACATGTTATTTTGTGTAGAAACATTTAACGGTTTTTTTATTTTTATTCACAAGATAAAGAGTAATAATAATTAAAAAATAATAATAAATATAGACACATGCCCCTAATGAAGTGTTTTTTTTTTTTTTCTGATCAGCCCCCAATAAAGTGTTTTAAGTGGTTGAGAGTTAGAGATTTTAAATTAGAGATTTTGAATTTTAGTTTTGAGAGGTGTATAAAAGGATCAAGAGAAGGGGTCGGTTATTATTGTTGTATAATTCATCATTTGACATACTTCAAAAAAGGTAAAAAGAGACACATAACATTCATTATTTAAATTAAAGTCAAATTTTATATTTTAATCTTTTTTGAGATAATTATAAACTAATTATTAAGGCACAAAATTGAAAAGGGGTACATTTAAATGCTTGATTTTTGATCTTCTTTCAGGTGATTAAATATTGAGTTTATTTTTAAAATTAGGGTTTTAAAGAAATGAAGATTATGAGTTCAAGCTTCAACTCTAACCTAGAGTTCATTAATAATATATTTAATTTATAGGAAATGAAGGATTTTTTAATCAATTAAATTGTAATATTTAAAAATATTATCTTCTCCTTCCTCCTCCTCCCATTTCTCTTAGTCCAAACATACTATAAAATAAAAAAATAAAACAAGTTCTTATTTTGTGTTTGAGCTTGCTTGAGAACTTTTAAACTTGATTTTGAGTTTGAACTCAACTCTAATGATTCTTCCAAAGATGCAGCAATCATAAGCTCAGCTCTGACTTGATTAATATGAATTGGGATCAAACTTGAGTACTTAATATTAACTTAATTCAGTTCAAATTCATTTAGTTAGAGAAGTTGTTAGAAAAATTAAAGAGAAATAATAGAAAAAAAGAAAAAAATGTTTTTAGGCATGATATCACTATTTTTAAAATTTTAAAAAGTTTTTAAATATAACAGAACTATAAACTAAACTATTAAAGTGCAAATGTGAAAGAATTACTCTTATTAAAATGAACTTCTACAGACTCCATTTATAAAAGCCGAATGAACATGTTCATATGTACCTTTTCAATATATATATGTACATATATATGTATGTATCTTTTACCCAAAGAGACACGAGTACATGATGCCATTTTAGGTTCATTTCTTCACTGAAAGGACATGTGGATTCATGGCCCCCTTTTCCATTCAAGTGTTTTACCATGTCCATCAAATAGCATTACACGTCTGCTCATGGACCAAATCAACACATTGATTAATATGTAATATTTTTTATTATGCAGTTAGATCATGTCTAGATGAATATCACACATATTGATGCATTAATCAGACATGCCATCGTTTGATAATTGTAGTATTTTTAGTCTTCTTAGCCCATAAAACACATTTAAAGTGTCCAATAATCTATTCGACACTTTTAAATTATCATCCAAAAGTTATACTAACAAACAAAAAGAGACTGCATTCCAAGATGTTTTATTTCCAGATTATTAATGGTGAAAGGGTGATGTCATGTCTTTAGACGAGGTCTTTGATGTAGGACAGCAACTTAAATTAATAACCTTGTCGAAAGAGGCTTTACAAAAATCATTGTCGAAACTGATTCAAAAGTTGCAGTTACTTTGCTCAATTCTAACTATGTTAACTTTCATCCATTTGCAACTCTCCTTGATGATTGCAGGGCCCTTCTTTGCCAAATTCCTGAAGTGCACCTGCAGCATATCTACCGTGAAGCCAATGCTGTTGTGGACCTTTTGGCTAAGATGGGAACTACCTTAGCTTCCTCTTTTGTTATTTTGGAACATTGTCCTACTGATATATGTAATATGTATTAT